GGGGGGGGGGAGGGGAAGAAAAGAGAGAAGAGGAGAGGAGAAGGAGGAAATGGCAGAGAAACGGGAACTGGGTTGTCATAGGTGTTTCCTTAATACTCTACTCCTGGGGGAATGTGTGTCTACTGTTACAGACAGTTGCTGATAGATATTTTGAAATAAATTACCAAAATAATTGAAACTGGCATGATTACATAGTGTTATTTTGACAAAAAAATGCAGAATTTTACAATATTATGCACAGAATTTTTAATTTGGGGGCAGAATTCCCCCAGGAGTATTATATGGACCAAATAAGCCTTCACAAGCCCTTGAATACTGATACTACAGTCAGCAAGACACCTGCACAGGGATAGAATTATATCCTACATGTAATTAGAAGTCAACACTGAATGTAGGGCATAAGCTAATATTAGTCTGAGGGAAAGAACAGGAGGACAAGAAAGATTTTAGAAGATAGTAAATTTACAAGAAATCTTAAGCTGAGAAAGCAAGGTATCAGGTTGAACAAGCACAGCAGCATGAGAACTAACTCCAGATGCCAAGTTATTGTAGTATTGCTTTCCGAGTGTAAGTGTAGCTGCATGTAACTGTCTGACCACTACTGTAATCAAGAGTTCCGAGTTCTAATCCCATCTCAGACTAATTTTAGCCAAGTCATTTCATCTGTTTCCATTACACAAACTCCTTCTACCAAATCAAGTATCAAGCGAGCAAGCTTAGAATACATGTGCTTTGTATCTTTTCAAAGAGCCAGACAGTTTATTTCAATTTATTGAAAGAAAATCATGAAAAGGAATACAAAGAAAAAAGCAACTTACCTCTTGCAGTAGCAATAAACTAAAATGGTTCCTTTTTCTCTCTCCAAAAAAGGAGAATTGAACTAAAATGCAGAGATAGAAAAGAGACAGATGAAGTCTCAGGTTTTCAACATTAAAGATTAATATTTCTCTAACCAATACTAGATTTGTTATAAGCGGTTTTTCATGGAATATTTAATCAGTTCTGTTCAGAATTAGAATTTAGTTCATTTGTGAATCACCCAGCAGTTGAACCGAGAAATTCATCATGTGAACTGCAATGTGAAGTCAGGTGGATCAAGTACTATATATGGCACCTGCAATACCTTACCCAGCAACAACTCCATTCCCAGATCCAGCATGAATTTTTTCAAGCTACGCTGAGGGGATGTTTGTCACGTTCATGCCTAAAAAAAGGCAAGCAGCTATCTCAGACCAGCATTAGAGACAGTTTGATACTACAGTACTAAAAAAAAAAAAAAAAATACTGTCTTGCAGTTTTATTCTACATAGCTAATTCAGTAGATAAAAGCAAAGTCACAAATGGTTATTTTGAACACCACAAACCAGCAGGGAAGTTCCTACCACAACTGAAATGATTCAACATGAGATTTAAGAAGCACAGATATGAAGCCTACAAACTGTACACATAGCTAAAATATACAAGCTTGTGTTCTATTATTGTCAATATCTCACCATTTCCTCATTTGGGATTTTATTTGTACAATCTCACTCCAGATTGGGGCCCCTGAATACCACTATAACAATTTAATAATTATGTCCTATATGTGCTCTAACTGCTAAAACCCTTATTCACACATTTTTGGTAGCTTCACCAGTACTGAGGAAGTCTTATGTATTTATTTTTTTTAGATAAGATGTTTGGGGTCATTTAGCACTAGAATTTGAATGGATTGTGGGATGATAGATTGAGACTTCATAAAGAAGAAATGAAAGAAAAAAGGTATAATATTCTCTACTCAGCATTTCTACCACCATTAATATATGTGCTCCAATTATTGTCCATGCTTACAAGTAGCACAACTCATATGGTTATCAGTTGTGGGTTGCAAAAAAGAGTCCTTTTATTATCAGCATAGAATTCTAAGTTTCTGTCCAAGTTAGACAAAAAACAAAAGAATGGAGTGCTTTTGCAAGTGACATTCTGTATGGAATATATGCATTAAGTTTCAATCTATATTACTATTTTCTATGGAGGCAGAAGACTGTTCAGAAATGATCTTTTTAAACTAAGGTTAGGGTGACAGAAGGCAATGTTTACCTAACTTGGTTCAGAGGTTAATTTGATATTTTACCTTCCTTTTCCACAAATAGTACTGAGCAAATTAAAACCTCAAAGCTTTATAAGAGCAGCTCCTTTACTACTCTATTTTTATTGCAACATTTACAATTTTATCTCTAGACACTGCCAAACAAATCATACACTCACCCAAAGGAAACTGAAGTTATACATTTACAACCTAGCCGATGCTAGATTAATCACTTGCAATAACTGAAAGTTTAAGTTGAATGCTGAACATAGTCACTTCAAACAAAAACTGTTTTGTTGCCAAGTGGAGCAGCATATGAAGATATGTATGCTCAGTCAGGGTTACAGCAACCAGCATTTATGGGATTCCATGATGTACTAGTTTTCTGATCTGTGTAGTATCTCCTGTACAGGCCCAGGCCCATCAGCAGCTTGTTCTTCCTCCGCTTCATCTTCCCTGATCAGTTTTGCATGCTTTGCTTTGGTCTTTGATTTTTTCTTGCTTGGAAGTTTGCTGCTTAATATGAAACAGCTGTTCTCCTAAGTCAATAGAAGATATAAACCTGATCAGAATAAGAGCCAATTATAAAAGACAAGATTTGAAGTGGGATTTTGCCAATAATTTTGGGAGATGCAGAACAATATTTCCCAAGAACTACCCATGAGTAATTCTCGGAACTGTATTCCTCAATTTAGGATTGTTTGGGGTGACAAACAAGTCAGAACCATGAATTTTCAAATGATATTAAAAAAATTAAGAAGCAGGGTCAGAGATGGCATATAATAGTCCACAGATACAGTCTAATTCCAGGAACAAATATTTAATCCAAAAATATTTTAATTTTGCTTGATTGTTCTTTTGGTTCATTTGCTTCAAAATGTTACACCGGGGAGTGAAGTTAACTCAGGTTTACTCACAACTATTGTGGCACCAAATTCTTCTTGATCAGGATCCAAGTTGTGGTCATCTCCACTGAAATAAAAATGGTAGAGAGTTGGTTAGGTTTATGTAATAGCACAAAATACGAAGACTACAAGTGGTCTTTGACTTTTACCTCCACAAAACCTTGAGTTTCTCTTGGCTTCAATGCTACTACTTGCACCTACATGAGGAGGCCACTCCTGCAAAAGTCTGATCTCAAATGACACCTCCCAAGACAATTAGAAATTAGGTAGGACAAGCTTTCAATGATATTGCAAAGAAGAGGATAATTAGGAAGAGGTAGAGAGAAGGCCTTCAGAGTAGATATGAGAGAGTGGACAGGACAACCATGAAGAAAAGCCAACTGGCATACCGAGGAGATTAAGGGGACAGGTCTGTATTAGGGTAGAGCAGAGAAAGCCAAATAGCACTGCTATTACAGTCAAACACGGGCCAAAAGAGGTAGGGGGATTTGGTTTGCCTGATATTACATCTGTGAGTGAACCACAGCTGAGCAACATGTGCAAGGGGTAGTTGTAACCTTTACCCAAGAATCTCTAACATGCACAGTCTGCTCTCTGGTTCTCCTTATTTTGAGCAGGGTAGTCAGTCTGCAAAAAGTTTTCCACTCTTCAGCTTCCCACTTCTCTAAATGGAATTTTCTCTGAAAATTTAGTCAGCCACAACCATTATACAGTTTATACTTGGTCTCAATGTGTACAAGGCAAATCCTGCAGCCTTTATTCACAAAACTAGGCCTCCGTCAGTCACGCTATCACTGTCATCAAGGGCAGAAGGATTGGGTTCTTATTCTTATGAAGAAGTTTTTCCAATAGTCAGCCATTGTAAGTTACTTTGACACATAAAGGAACATGCCAACTTGAAACACTCAGTTTGAGAAGAGTTAGGAATAGATTTGAGTATTGATCCCCAAGCATCCTTGCTAATTGTTACGGTTTTACATCTTCCCCTCATGGTTGTGAGAAACATCCATGTAAATGGGGGGAAAATGACTGACCACATATGAGAACAGCAAAACTTTACATAATAATTTAACTGACTATGTATTAGAAAGACTAAGTCTCTGATCTTTCAGCTTTAGAAAGCTCTATTATTTGCAATAAGTGTAGACAAATTTCAGACAAGAATGATTTTAAGTTGACTATTTCCCATTCCACTTTGTTCACTGAATCAAACATAAAATGCAAGGAAAAAAAGACAGTCCTCAGACTTGACAGGTTGCACTCCACGAACTCCCAATCCAATCCCTATGCCACAAAATACCAAGGCGTTTTTGTTTTTTTTTAAACTGGGGTTGGATCTTATGGCCTCCCACACAAAGTGATACTGCATGAAATTAAGGTGTGAACAGTTTCTCAAAACAAGAATTACTTTTAGTAATTCCCAATCCAGATTTAAACTCAATTAAATTTAAATTACCAGAGTTGAAAGTTCATAGATCGAGACTCATAGAAACATGCACACAGTGGATGATGGTCTCACACTGCAGTGAGACTTAGATGACCTGAGTTGAATGCGCAGCTCAGCCACAAGCTTTCTATGTGACCGTGAGAAACTAATTCACTGATTCTTCAGTTCCTGATCTGTATAGGGATTTACTCCCCTGCCTCAAAGAGATATTGCAAGGATAAATTTCCCTAATGATTATGTAGTACACAGATAGCATTCATCATAACTTCAATGCCAGTTAAGGAAATAGATGGAAGGTGTTAATAATAAATAATAATAATAATAATAATAAGCAGCGTGAACTTACTCTGTCTCCTCAATAGGAGAAATGGGTCCTTCGTCATCTATGTATTTGTGTTTCCGCATCGCCATACATTCATTTTCTAAATCCTCACTAGCATTCAGGTTTTTTAAAGCCTTTTTGAGATGTTCTTCATATTTGAGCATCTTAATGTATTGGAAATATCCCTTTAAAGCTGCTTGCTAAGAAAAACAGATTTCTTGTTACATTATGCAAGACCTTGAAAATCAATGCCATTATTAAGACAGACTAAATCTGTTTATTTCTAACTTCTAATACCAAAGATAGACCCTTCAGCATATATTTAAAGTGTGCTATACAGCAAATCAGTTTCAAGGATTTAGTACTAACTGATAAATTATGCTGTCAAGTAATCTGCATACAATCTCATCTATAATGTTGTACTGAAAGTGTGAATTTAATTCACTGTACTCTGACCAAATTAGTCAGTGGTTCTTAAGTGCAAAAGCACAATAGTTACCTTTTGGCAACTAGTTTGTTTGCAAAGACTGAAGTTTGTTCTGCCTCTAGAAACCACTCTAATAAAAAAAGGACAAAATCTCACCTCATATTCAAAAATCATTTTCATGGGGATATGTTTCCTTCCATATTCTTTTTCCACAAAAGGAAACTGAAAACCTCTGTCTAGAAGTCTTTTTTTCTGCTCTTCTTGTGGAGCAGTTAGCCGTGGTCTCCCTCTAGGTTTTCCTGTGCTCTTGTACCTCTTTTTTCTCTCTTTTGGTTTCTCCTTACATCTTTGATGTGCTTGTCTCCTATACTTCCTCCTCAAGTAATAGTCAAAACTGGCTTTCAAATTGAGTGCAGATCTAGACAGCCCTGGGGATTTAGCCAACTTAAATGGAGACCCAGGGTCCAGAGAGGAGTCAGTCGAAGTGTCTCTGTCTAATGTATTTGCTGGAGAGTTTGCCAAGTGCCTTGTTGAACTTCGAGCTGCCGGTGTAATGTTACACTTGTGTTGGATCAAGCTGCTAGTAGAATCAGAAAGGTCACTGATAACAAAACAAGAGTAAATGGTTAACTTTTTTGAAAGCACAGTTGATGTTTCTGATAAATTACACACTGACTACAAAGAACTCTCCTAGTATCAAACAAAATTATCTTCTCTAGTAGCTTTGGAGTGATTAGGTGTTCATGGTGATTACTATTAAAAAAATTTGACTAAGTATGGCCCTTAGATACCTAATGCACTAGATCAGTAAACATGCATCTTAATTTCAGGTGAAGCCACAAGGGAGTTAAGTAGAAAGCTGGCTACAAGCTACACAAGATTCTTTATTAAAAACAAATCACTTGTTCTAAATATTTGAAGTTTTACCTACTACCCTTTTGAGAATAGAAGCTGGGACTGGACAACAGGATAGATCTTTCAACTGTCGTCCTGTTCTGTTCATTCCCTCCGAAGCATCTGGCACCAGCCACTGGGCTAGATGGACCATTGGTCTGGCCCACTATGGCCACTCATGTTCATATTCTTTGTATGAATACAGAGCCTTTCAGAGATTTCAAAGCTTTATTTATACAGCTTTATAGGTGTGAATTAAGCCTTCATGCCACTGAGGCAGGGAAATATATTACAGATGGAAAAACCTATTGAGGCGTAGAGTGGGTTCACAACTTGCCTATGGTCACATAGGAAATCTGACAGAGCCACAAAACACACTTTCCATACCCATGCTTTAACCACAAGACTGCTATCCTTCCTTGGAAAGTCTGTTTAGTACCAGTTTGACTTCATACGGATTGGAAATTGCATGGCAACTTGCTGTAACAGGTGTCTGCTTGAAATGAAAGCCAATCTAGCAAAGGTTCTCAAATGTTGTCATAGTGAGCCATCTTAAGGGGAGGGAAGAACCCACTGCACCTCCCTATAGGTGCATAGGCAGGGAGCAGGCCCCCACCCCCTGACCAGCTTCAGGGACCCCACATCACCTCCTCCTTAGCATGGGCAAACAAGCTGTTCCCAGGGAGGAAGGCAGCATCAAGAGCTCCTGCAGAGCTCAAGAGCCTGCTTTTGTGACCTGCTTGAAATGAGTTGGTCCCAATCTAGTTCCAAGGCCCATGAGAGTTGGAGTAAAGAGTATGTCCCATGGAGGAAATTGGGTTCTTATTCTTTTTGTATAGGATACCTATATACCACAATGGACGGAGATGTGAAGGGCTGGCAGGTGTTTTACACAAGCAAGAAAGTACTATGTGTGGGGAAGGTCACTTTGTGTATATGCATAGGGGCACTGTTGGGGTCAGGGGCAGCAGTGCAACTGAATGCCAAGCTGGAGGAGGTGTGTGCCCCTTTCCCTTCCAGTGGGCAGCGCATGTTGGCGCACCTCCCCACCATATACATGCTGCCGGAGTTCAGGCTATGGCCATGCAACTGGAGAGGGGCTGGTGTAATTCTGGCCCATAGCAAGGGACAGTGTGCATGGCTGAGCAGGACAACTGCTCCAGGCTAATTTCTGCAGCCCCTCTGTGGGGGAGGGGCATTACAGCTGCCAGGAGTCTGCCACAAGTGGAGTGTGTGCTCTGGTCCAACCTAAAGGGAGTGTGCAGGAATGAAGGGGGAAAGATGCTGCTGGGGGCAGCATATACTATGGAAGCAGTGGGGAGGCAGCCCCTGCCTGCTCCATCAGCAAGTGCACAACCCTTTCCCCAGTAAGGTTTCAGCACTGCTGCACCAAGCCACTAGTGAATGTTAGAGTGTGCAAAAGGGGGAGATGCAGTTGGAGAGCTAGCTCCTCCCCAGGTGCACACTTACCTCCCTCAAGGTACACTGCAATTTGGTTTGAGAACCTCTTCACCGCATTCTAAAAGTTTATAAGGCAAGGCTTCTTGCCACAATCAAGCTTCTGCTTGTACCTTAAAACGTCCATATAATGGCTCTCCTTAGCTTTTTGTTGGTTGCTACCACCCTGCAGAGAAAGGCTATGATACTAGGGCACCTTCATTTCTGTAACTGTTAAAATTGGTTTAACCTGATTACACACAATTTTGTTCAGTAGTAAAAGCCCACTATAAAGTTACTTTGAAATAATCCTTTGAATAGTGGTTTGGAAGAAGCTGGTAGCCCAGGCTCCTGGGTTATGCTCCGTACTTGCAGCTTTGCCAGTGACTGACCTTGGGTAAGCCATCCTGTTCTTCACTTAACCCAGCTGGAGAACAGCCACACTTCTCTATCTCACAAGCCTATAACAGATTTCTTTGCTGAATTCTCTTACCCAGAACCTTGTGTAGTTAATCTGCACAATGACAAGTGCTACCAAATGCAAAGTTTTACTCCCACTTTTGCACTAGGATTGCCTACACAAGATACAGGGTGACAGAATCAGACCCACTGTTTATGGAAGACTCTGGATGAAAGGAACTACAGAGGAACTGACCATTGGAACTGAAAGTCACTTCCTTGTTACTCAAGTACAGGCACTGGATTGTTATTGGAAAGTTTAAAAGTAAGATTACAAGGTATTTACAAGCCTTTAAAAATTTTTATACCAAATTGAAAAAAGCCAGATGGAATTTTAGTCCTAGAGCCTTAATGTTGCCTAATCAAAAGAGGTAATTCAAAGGCTAATGATATTTAATAAATCATAAAAGCCAGCTTAAAATGTAGGAGAATGAAGACTCAATTCCTGGTACCCCCATCGCCATATGGTTTAAATAAAAAAATTTGGCCCCCAAAAAAGCAAAACTGGAAGGGAGTGAAGAAATAAGGAATTGTGGCTGGTAGAGATATGAAGTCTTTCAAGCCAAAGTATATATGACATGGGTTAGGAGTTCTAGGGTATCCTAGATAACTATTTACATAGATATTTAGACTGTATGCTCTTTGGGGCAAGGTCTGCCTTCCTATGTTTGGAAAATACTTGTCTAACATGTGGGGAGCTAATGAAGAAACCGCCCTCCCCACAAAAATCACTCAAGTGAACAGTAGAACCTCACAGTTACCAACACCTTGGGAATAGAGGTTGTTCTTAACTCTGAAATGTTTTTAACTCCTAACAGTTGTTTTGAAGTTGTTCCTTCAAAAATTTACAACTGAACATTGACTTAAGGCAGCTTTGAAACTTGACTATGCAGAAGAAAAATGCTGCCTTCCTTTTTTTAGTAGTTTACATTTAACAGTATTTTACTGTCTGTTTTTTGTCTCTGCTGATAAGATTGTGTAATTCTGGTTCCAAAGGAGGTTTGTGGTTGAATGGTCAGTTTGTAACTGAGGTTTTACTGTACTGCATATGCACCAACCCAAGTACATCATCCTAAATAGAAGTCAGCAGTATGAATTGTGTTTTCAACCAAGATCTCATACAACTGGATCCAGTATCTTAAGAGATTTAGGGCATTCAGTCTGTTTTACCAGACATGTAGCTTTTTGGGGGGGTGGGGAGGAGGAGGGGAAGGGAAGAGAACTCACATCTCTGAACCGATGTCATCCAGCAAAGCATTGGTTGGAACAGTGGTGGTCAAGTAGGTGAAATATTTGGAAGATCTACCACTGATGTAGGATTCCTGTGAAGATTTTTCACATACAGAATCTTTCTGTGCAGAGCCTAAACATGAATTCCTTGCAGCTACATGTTCATGCACATTAGACTGTTCTTGCGGCGCATATATTAGATCTTGGGAATCTTCAAAGTGGTCAAAAGCTGAAGTCTTGGCTTCATCAGTATCAGTCATTCTGATCTTTCAATTTGTCCTAAAATAAAAAAAATATTCAGTAAAAGATCAATCACCAGGGTTGGTTTTTTTTATTACAATTAGGTTACCTTAAGTCAGCAGTTCTCAACCCATGGCCCAATTAGCACAAGGCAGGCCCATGTGCCAGGTCCCTCCAGGTTCCCAGCTGGCCTCATGCAGACAAGACTGAGTGAGCAGCCAGCCAACCCAGCACTGCAGGGGTCCAGGCTGCCCTGCCCAGTCAGTCCCCACAGCTCAGGTAATACACTGCAGGCCACATATGCAGCCCACAATGTGTAATCAGTTGAGAACCACTGCCTTAACTATTTTGAGAGACTGAGGAAAAACAGGCCCATCCAAAAGTCTTGATCAGTATCTTTTCTTCTATTAAAGTCAAACTACTTTGTATTAGAGTTCAGAATAACCATCAACTTTCAGCTGTGTAGGGTATGGCACTCATTTTCTTCACCCGCAGCCAAATAACTGCAACATGCATAGTGTATGCAGTGACAAGTAGTCTGAAAAAACATTAGCATGAAGAGAAGAAGGTGGACATAACCCATCCTTTAGGATTCTGCAAAATTACTACAAATACCTCAGTTCTAAGACATTTTTGTCCAACAAATATTTTTTATTAAAGATCTTCAGGGTGTAGTATAAAATATCCTTCCTGCCCCAATATTGAGCATTCAGGCTTTTTGGAGCAGTAAATAAAAGTCTTTGCAGATAATCACCTATTATACTGCCCAGTGATATTTCAAAAACAGTTGCAATGTTTAAAAAAGTGTGCACCTTTAACAATATTTAGTTGTGTCAAAAGAGTGCTTTGCAAACATCCAATCAGTCTCACAACACTGATGTAGGAAAGTATTCTTGTCTTATGGATGAAAAAACTGAGGCAGAGATGAGACATACCCAAAACAATGGACAAGGTGTATTGAAAGCAGGGATTAAAATTCAAGAGTTGGGTTTTCCAAAGCACCTGATGGCATATGGGGTACACACATCCCATTGATTTGTTCACTCTTTCCCTCCACCAGGCATACTGGAAAACCCCATCCCCACTAGATCAAACTCCTACAGTTTAACCCAATAAGCTAGATAAGTAGTCGTGAACGTTGACACATGTACAGATCTCAGGCTAACATCAACAGTTGACACTAGCAAAGTGTGCCAGCCTTCAGCATCTGGTGTTAACCGCTAACTACTGAAATAAAGAATGTTAGGAGTGCAGGGTTGTGATGTCAAAGGGGGAGCCAAACAGGAGTTTGCAATCCCTGCAGATAAAGGGGAAAGGTGATGTAGGGAGTAGGATGTGCTTTGGCTAGTTTAAGACATTTAAGGAATTGTATTAAGTCTTAAGACTTTTCCTTGCCAAGAGACAATAGTAGAAAGGTGATCTGTATAAGAAAAGTAAACATATCAGTTAAGGTCAAAAGGTGCTTTTTCTTCTGTGAAGGTTCTTTTAACTTTCGCTTGTGATAGCTCAGACAATTTGTAACATACTAAAGTTTAATACTGGCAGTGTCTGCTACTACATGAATAAGTTGGGAAGTGAGATAGTACAGTTTAGGGGTCACAAAGGTAACCGAGAAATAACGGGTAGTCACAGCACACCAGCTGCTTAACTATGGTGCTTTCAAACTTAGATGTGTATACAAATATGCAGAAACAAGACTTTCATGCAGTTCCACAACACCACTTTTCTCCCTACCCTAGCTTTGGCAAGGCCTGATCCCTGCTGCAGCAGCAGCACCACCACCTCTCCTGGTGGAGAAATAATAGTTAGGGTTAAAAATTGAACATTTGAAAGGAGTTTTCCTAGGGTACCAGATGTCCTAATTTTACAGGGACAGTCCTGATTTTGGGATCTTTTTCTTATATAGGCTCCTATTACCCCCAACCCTGTCCCAATTTTTCACACTTGCTGTCTGGTCACCCTAAATTTTCCCCAAAACCCTGGTGTTGCTGTAACAAGGTTTGTGTTTCCTCCCACAAATTGATTTAAAAAGTTTCAGAGTAGCAGCCATGTTAGTCTGTATCCTCAAAAAGAACAGGAGTACTTGTGGCACCTTAGAGACTAACAAATTTATTAGAGCATAAGCTTTAGTGGGCTACCAACCACTTGTCCGCGGGCTA